TCTGAATAAGTCGGATATTTGTGGTAAAATTCAAAAGAAGGTAAACAACATATATCATATACGTTACAAATAAATAAATAAATTTTATCTTTTATTTTTTTCTAATTCAAATTTGAAATTAAAATTACTAGATGTTAAGAATTGTTAAAAATGTAAATGGATAGTCATTATTAGTGCTTCAGTACTGACATACTATTTGGGATTCTTATTTTTCGCCATTGATAAGTTTAGAATTTCTTAATCAAACATCAAGGAGGTTTTAACTCCCTTATAAGTCCCCTATTGTCATTTATCTCCTAACGTATGTAGATTATAAGTTTTTGACTTTCAAAATTTTGAGTTAGCGCCTCTAATTTGAAGGTTAATCCAGAAAAGCGCTTCGGACGCACCGAATTGATAAAGTGTAATTTTTATTCTCTATTGCTGGGTCGATACCGCTTGATGTTGGCTGTTACCCCTGATTGTATCATTAGCTCGTAATAAGTGTTTCGTTACTATATTGATATATAGCATTCTATTCTAAAATTTTCCGTTGGTAATTTCAAAACTTATTAAGATAAATAAGATTCCAACTCCTTCAGGAAAAAATGACCTTCAATAAATTTGATAATTACTTTAAGTTTACTGTTAGTCATATTTATCCTCTAGAATGCAAGTGTTTAAACGTCCTTTTCCGGGAATTTTGGGGTTTGAGCGTTTCTGATGAAGATTTAACAGGAAACGCGTAATTTCAAGCGTATGATTAAATATTGGCTAACACATATGCATGCCTCTGCTTCGGACGCCTCAAATTTTAAAGCCTTAAATTAATTTTCATTTACAATGATTTAAGTTTGGTCTAATAAAATATTTTGAAGTTAAGGAATGAATATCCATTACCCATAGCTCTGATTCCTTATTTGGAGCTTTACTATTGGTCCTTTCGGTTTTATTAATTCTTAAACGTTTGAATTATATTTTTAATTCCCAATATTTGATCTCCAGTTAACTGTAGATGTATTGTTTGTCGAAATACGAATGTGGTACAGTAGACTTAGTATCGTTGAATCTAATATCAAGCAGGAATGATCTTTTCCGAAACAAGATAGAAAAGATTTAACGTTTTCCAAGTTATAATGAATTAAAACTGAATGCAGAAATATTAGTATTCAAGTATAATGTTTTCAATGTGAATTCTTATAATTTGCATCGTTTCAGACACGAAAGTATTTAACTTGGTTTCGGAGAAAACCACAAAAGGGCAACCATTACAAATTATCTTTAAATATAATTTATTCAGGGGGATAATGATTAGAGTTAAAATCAGTTTACTGAACTGCAAACTTGGCTAATAATTTTTCAGATATTGTCTCTATAATAATTAATTTCTAAATTTATGAAAGATTGAATTTTATTAATATTTTGTTTTATTAATATTTTGTTTTATTAATATTTTGTGTGGGTTTAGAAATCTTTGTCTTAATTCTAGAAGGGTCCAATTCAAAATAAATCGTACACGATTTTAGGTTCGATGCGAAGATTTTATTTGGTGTGTTCACATTTATGAGTGTTAAATTAAAGTATGCGTCTTTTCTTGTTTGTTTACAGTTATTTCCAGCATTGTTTTTCATGTTTTTTTTTACCTGTTATTACTTTGATGTTTTTTTCAATTTGTTCTGATTTATTTTTATTTCCTTTTTTACTGTCTAGTAATATTATCACTATTACTTCAAATGGTTTTTCAGTGAAGGGGTAAATTATTAAAATTTCGATTCCACTGCACAAATATTATTTCTTAGACATTTTTTTAGAGATAAAAATAAGTAAATTTTCATTATTATGTGCCTGTTACAGGGTAACTTGATGCTGGTCTTTACTACAGGCAACAGTAGTTTACCGTTGTTCAACTATATCATATCAATGTTGATGGTGCAAATAAAGATGACACAACAGTAAGGGAATTAATTCTTTCTGCATAAATATTTTTTGATGCTGCACATTTATTCATATAATCTGGTTTTTTATATGCAAGCTTTATGGTTTTATTAACTGTCAACTGCAACTTTTTTTAAACAATGGTCTGACCGACAGAAGTTTTTTTTTTATTCTGAAAAACTTTTCATGGTATCGAAAAACCTCCTTACTGATGCCATACTTATACTTGAGTAAGCCAAAACAGTCCAGCGTTTTGCCTACATATGACAAAAACAACATGCGCAATTATGGTATAGACAAGAGCTACTCGGTTATATAAATGATCTATGAGACAACCGGGAAAAATACTTTCAGCTAAAATACTAAAATTCCAGGTCAAAACAGTCCATTAGTTGTTTTGATTTTTCTTTCTCTTAGCTATAATTATAAAGTCCCCTATGCGTTGATAAAGGCAAATTTGTTTTTAAAACATTTTGTCGGAAGCGTTTTAAATTATTTTAAACTACGCACTGATCAGATAAAGTCAATGTTGACCACATCTTCCATGTTTACAAATATACTAACCGAAATAATGATGATATTTGAGGTTACAATAAAACTGTTGCCTGTGTCTATAGGCTTTTGTGGTAAAGCTGACTATAAACATTAGAGATGATATATATTATATGGAATATTTATCAAGAAATTCGTACATTAGTTTTTCGTGACCTTTCATATTTAATTACAAAACCAAAACTGCTTGTTTTTTATAAGTAAAGTTTTTATTCATTTTATTCAGGGGAATAATGGTTATAGAAAAAATTAGTTTACTGACCTGCAAACTTGCCCATAATTTATCTGATATTATCACTGTGCTAAATTCTAAATGTATGAAAGGTTGAATGTTATCAATATTTTATGTGGATATAGAAATCTTTGTTTCAATTCCAGAAGGGTCCAATTCAAAATAAATCATTAACCATTTTCAAGTTCGATGCGAAGATTTTATTTAATGTGTTCACAATTATGAATAGTGAATTTTTGTATGCGTCTTTTCTTGTTTGTTTACAGTTCTTTCCAGCATTGTCTTTCTTGTGTTTTTTTTACCAGTTGTTACTTTGTGTACATTTTTCAAGTTGTTCTGATTTATTTCTATGTCCCTTTTTACTATCTATTAATATTACCACAATTATTTCCAATAGGTTGTCAGTAAAGGGTTCAGTAATTGAAATTTAGATTCTCCTGCACAAATATTATAACTTAGACATTTTTTATAGGCATAAAACTTAGTAAATTTTTCATTATCATATGCCAGTTACTAGGGTAACTTGATGTTGGTCTTTAATAGAGACAACAGTAGTTTACCGTTGTTCAACTATTGTACATCAATTTTGATGGTGCAAATAAATATAACACAACACTAAGGTAATTAATTTTTCTTCTTGAGAAAATTTATTGATACCGCACAGTTTTTCATATAATCTGATTCTTTAAATGCAAGTTTTATATTTTTTTTATAAAATGCCAACGGCAACTAGTTTAATTTGTAGCATTTTCTGCAATAGTCTTACCGATAATAGTATTTTATGAACCTGAAAGACAGTTTTCATAGTACAAGAAAAAAACAAAATATCATCACTGATACAGTACTTGTACATTAGTAAGACAAAACAGTCCTGCATTTTATCTACACAAAACAAAATCCACATGCCCAATAATATGATAGACAAGTGCTACTCGGTGGTATAAATATGCTACCGTTTGAATAAAATGTGACAACCTGGAAACAAAGATTTCAGTTGAAATACTAGAATTCCGAGTCAAAAAAGTTCATTACTATTTCCTGGTTTTTCTTTCTCTTTCTGTCCCCTATGCTTTTAGTAATGCAAATTTGTCTTCAAATAGTTTGACGGAAACGTTTACAAATAATTTTAAACTACGCACTATCAAATAAAGTCAATATTGACCACATCTTTCATGTTTAAAAATATTTTAACCGAAATAATGATGATATTTGAGGTTACAATAAAACTGTTGCTTGTGTCTATATGTTTTTGTGGTAAAGCTGACTATAAACAATAGAGATGATATATATTATATGGAATATTTATCAAGAAATTCGTACATTATTTTTTCCTGAACTTCCATATTTAAATGCGGGTTTTATGTGTAGCCTTTTTACTCCAATAAGCATGCAAATTGTAACAAATATATCAAATACTTCATTTCGGAATAAATCTATCAACTATATATATCAATATGCTACCAACAATTGCAAGGGATATTATAAATTAAAAATTTGGATCGGGAAAATTGATTTTTATAGCTTTTTTTATATTTTGCAGTTAGTTCACATGACGTGTACTTCAATATTGAGGTTTATCAGGTACACTTTAAGGTAATTGATTTCTCGGTTATTTCACGGAATCTTAATACATTGAGAAACTCCTATGTTTGGAATGGTAAAACAGGATTGTCGTCTCATCCCTTAACAGAAAAATAAATATTAGATATGAAAAGGTAATATACTAAATATATAATGGTTTCTTATATCTTTTTATATAATATATATATATTTTTTTATTTAAGAACTGAACGTTTCTTTTTTTAATTGAATTGTGGTGCAAATGCGTCTACCAAAGCAGATTTGGTATGAAGCGAAGTAAGGCTTCGTACAAAACATGTACCCACGGTTAACGCTTTTACCACCCTATTAACATGATTAAACTATATATAAAATATTCAATTCTGACAATCACATATAGATACTGCAACCATGAAATAAAGAGTTTTATCAAGCTTTTCGTATGTTTTCCTGTGCATTGTAGTGACATTATCATGTGAAGCCCGTGCAGTCCTGAATTCTACATTTTTTTGAGAAATAAATTATGATTTAGGAATGTCTCCCGATTGTCGTCAGCCAATCAAAAGTACAGATTCTTATGAAACACACATGTAATGTATTTATTTATATATGCTAAACTGGGATTTCAGTATTATATAGTATTGCATAAATCAAATGAAATACACAGTGGTTGAAAACAATGACCATTCGAAAACTGCATTTGATAAGCATTTTGTACGATGAACAAATATGAATGAGGTAATATGGTAATATCAAAATATTTATTACAAAAATATAGTTCTTATCTCATTTTTGTTTCACTTGTTGATACATTTTCATTGTCACATATAAATAAATGTATAGATATAACGATTATGGAAAACCAGTACACAATTATCTTATCATTGAAAGTGAACACAAAAATTGAAATTTACAACAAATTATTAAACATATTGTATATAAAATTCGAATTTCATGATAAAGTCACAGCTTCGTATTTTGCAACCAACAAAAGTTCCTAAGTTCAGTTAAACTGCAATCATTCATACAACAATCACAAATTAGTCTTTCTGTGGCATTTAATCTATCTCCAACCAGAGCACCTGAAATGACAATTATAACATTGTAAACATTTGTTTATACAAATAACGTAATATAAAAGGAACATCGCACTTCAATTTTACCGTTTATGCAACGTACAACTCTAATATAAAGGTTTGAAATTAATAAAGAATAATTGTTATGAATTATTTTTGAATTACATGGAAATACGCGAACGAAATAGGAAAATGGTATGAAATTGAAAACACTAATACTTTAGGGTGGAAGCAGACATTTTAGCAAAATATTTAAATATTTCGCTGAAAACTTTGAACAAAAAAAGTCCAATGATTGAAAATACTGTCGCCGTTAACGGACGAAAATTCCTGATATTATATGAAATAAAATATAAGAAATTTCTGTCTTACACAAGATATATTATTAAGTATATCTTTGGAGTATCATCTCATGCACTATTGTTCAGCCGTTCCATATCACTTTACTCTAATGCAATGCCTTAAATAAAATTTAAAACGACATATGTGTTATCTTATCTGATTCAGTCAAATATCGAAAAATGATTCTGTTCCATGATTTTAAGACATAAGTATGAATCTTTTAACAAAAATTACTCATATGTAGAAGAAGAAAGAATAAAACTTAGCTATTTATAAATAAAAGCAACGCTTTACAGTTATATTGGAAATAACCTGAACAGTATCAAGTCAATTGATTGAATAAATATTTTCAAATCAATTCATATATGGAAGAATGAATTTTTCGATGAATTTATGAATAACACACGAAACTTTCAACCCAAATTAACTAATTTATAGAATAAGAAAGTGTAAAATTTATATATTTACAAATAAAAGCAAACTTCGCAATTATCTTCGAAACTTTCATAGCAGTATCGAGTCAAGTAATTAGATAAATGTTAACTTACCATCAATATTTAAATCCGCATTGGGTGAAAATAAACTACATATAATTTCTAAGATGCTATGTATTTCAAATTGACAGTCCTTAAACATAGACAACGAAATAGTGTCTCCATTGTCACACTGAATTCGTCCACAAGATTTTTGGAATATTGTTAAAAGTATAAACAAGTAATTACAAAAATAAACCAACAACATTATTATTATAGAATAATTGTTATAAAACAGGAAAAGCGTTCACAAACAAGATAAGTTATATGACACATCCCACTTAAATATCTTATTCTTGATAGGCCACATATATATTTTACTAAGACTACACAAAGAAGTGTTTGTGTGAATTATGAAACCTTATTAATAAAGAAAAAGTATATAAGGTGACATTGAAATGGTATGTTATGGTTCATCTATTTTTAACGTTGCGTTGTCCCTTTTTGAAACATTAGACCGATCCAACCGGAAATCTTTTTTTTAATATGTTTTAAAAAATGCAGTTGAAAACATTTTTACTTAAAATCTTAAAATTTTCAAATAATAATTTTATTTTAGGAAAATATTTTAAAAAGTATTGAAAGCAAATTAGCCCTTAATCTTCAAAATTACTCTATTTGTTTAGATGATTCGTCATTTTCCCTTAGTTTTAAAACTGACAGCTTGCAGCTTGCAGCAAAAAAAAAAAAAAAAAAAAAAAAATGAAAATTGTTTAGATTTTTATATTATATTAAGGTATTAATTCAAAATCAGATTTTTTTTGTGAGTAGCACATTTGGTATGTGATATAATGATCATAAATGCAGATTTGTAAAAATTGGTAAAAAGGGGTTACGATACCCAAGGAACAATCAACACCATATGTCAAAGAAAACAGTCGAAACCATTATCGAACGAAGTACGAGGAAAAGAGAAAACACTACACATTAAAACTAAAGGTTGAGCACCATTCAAAAGCGGGGGTGTGCTTCGAAGGATTCTTTAAGTTATTTCAATAACTGTTAAACACAATGGACATACGATATTTAAGCAATGATTTATTAATTTAACCGCACTATATCTTATTATATATTGATTGTGAAATACTTCTGTGCTTGATTCCTATTCTCTCTCTCTCGTCATTATTTTGAAAAATATAAGGAACATGTCAGTGCAAACAACCAAAATTTTGGTCGATATTTTCATCAAGTATTTTGTTTTTCAAAATTGAGTTACCTATAAAAAACTTTTTATCAAAACATATTTTTTTCTGAAAATGAATTATGAAATAAGAGAAGTATTGGAAATAATAAAGAAAGGAAAATGTTTTGTCCCTTTTATGACAGGACAAAAATCAAATCAATATATGATTATATTTTCTTATCGTACATGTAGCATCCAACACTACTGCTCACTTATAAAATATTTAAAGCTAATGAAAAAATATATATAACTATGGAAAATAATAAAGATAAAGAAATATGTAGAATTTGAACCCACAACCTAGTCTCCCTATTAATAACTGTTTTTCACTCGCTTGTTCGTACAATGTAAACAAACATCAATATTTTTGTGGTCAAAAGATATCATATCGGTTTAATGACCTTCTGTTTGTCAAAACTTGACAAACATGACCCTTTACTTATCAAACTTATACGTACTTCAACAACTTAGAGGTGTAAACAATTTTTTGGCTGGCCTACAAAGTAGTCTTAAGTTCATTTTAAACCACAACATCTTATTCATATAACAAAAATAACAAAAACATGGTTGTGTAACGTTGTAAAAGTACAAATATATTCATATGTGTATATAGATAGATATACATATATATTTATAGAAGTACATTGCCGTAAATAGTAATTCATGATTCACCAAATATAGAAATTATATGATTTTTTTTTTATGTTATATGGAAATTATATTTTAATTTCAAATTATGTAAGAGAAGCGTTGCATTATTTTTTTTCCAGCAAATTTGACTCATATAATGTTAAATGTTTTGTTATTACCAAGAGATATAATTTTCTATGATAGCATATCAAACTGATTAAAATATTTGTCACTACAATAACATATCCATTTTTCTTATTTTCATTCAACAAGATTTTTTTGTCAAGTATGTTTTTTTAACCATAAATACCTGTGATATCACAAGTTTATATCGTGTAACTATAACTTGTTTCTGCTTTCGATTTTTTAATTTAATTTGACTTTAATGATACATGAATTTAGCGGCGCTCACAACTGATGGTGTTAATTACAGAACCTATCGTCGTACACAAATAATTTGTCTGTATGTTTCTGAAATTTGACCACACAAAACAACATATATGTTATAGCATAAGCTTCCTGTTTATGTCGTGTCTGAATTTAGACTCAACGTGTATCATCTCCTAACTTGGATCTGCACCCAGAAGGAAAAGTCAATTTCCCTAGTATTTATTTAATCAACATGATCATTTTCCGAAGCTTTTACATATTTACTAAAAATAAAGAGAAACACAGTTTAATGTATGTGATTTTAGGTTTGACAGCAGTATAAGATATTTCTGATCAATTGAGCCGTTAGTTTTCTCTTTAGAATTGTTACACATTTTGTCACGCCGGGCCCTTTTATAGCTTATCAAACGGTATTAGTTTTAGTCATTATCGAAGTCCGTACGGTGAACTAAAATTGTTAACATCCTCGGCAGCTGGTATTTGGTCGATAGTTGTCTCTCATTTTCAATCTTACCAAATCTGTTTATTTTTTAATAATTAAAATGATTTGTAAATAGTTTTACTGCATGAAGCCTTAACTTACCAAAACTTCCCTTACTTATAAATTACTTTTTCAATTAAAGCCACTTTGTAAAAGTCAGTGAGAAATGACAGAAATAACAGAATAGCAGTGTTGAAAAAACAACGTATGACAAAGTCAAAATATGAAATAAACATTGCTACGTTAACAGAATAGTAGATGTTGATGTTTTGTAAATAGATATTTATTTTAAATCTTTATATTACGAGATTGGATGTATTTTACGTTAATGTATGCATGGATTTCGGTGAATTCATTCAAAAAATCAATTTAAAGGAAATGACTAGCGATGTTTAACTGAGACTGAAGTCGATTAGAAATTCGAGTACTTGCAATAACACACATTTAATTACAAATAATTGCGATTATAACAATATTATAGCTTAAACCTTATTGGAAATAAGAATATTATCCATACTGAGTTTGCGTGCATTTTGTATACAAAATTTATTTGGTTTCGAATTATTTGAAGGCAAACTGAAGTTTTCCATAAACTATGACCTATCATCTCATTTATTTCTTAAATAAAAAGGGTGGGGGACGCCTATCGTCGCTTTTCAGAATAATTAAATATATCACTGTTGATAAAATACACACGTTTGCATTATTTGAAATTTTATTTACAAACTGTTTATAAAGCTATACGTATCCGTGTTTTATCTATGTATAATATCTAAAATTTTGAAACATAAATAGAAAGATCGATTAGAACTTTTTTAATATATATAATAAAAATACAGCAATTTCTATTACATAAATAATCCAGAATTAAGAATATATACCAATTTCTAAATGAATAATGAAATAAGTTTATGGCTAGCAGTTATGTTTAAACATATCAGGAGTGTTAAAATACCCTTTACGAATATCAACTATCGCAGTGAATTTAAATAATCCACATTGTATTCTTGCAATCGGTTTGGTTGGTCTTCATTTTTGATTCAGCCATGCTGGATCTATGCCATAACTCTGGTTTTGGAGATGGTGCAGAATACTAAGTTGAATAAAATATCATATAACTAATTATGTGTTTTTATGACTTGCAGAAACTTTCTACACCATTTTAATCATCAACTGCCAACTTTTGACATGTTATTTGCCCTTAAATTAAGAAAAGATTGGTCAAACAACCCTTTTATTTTAGATATACACTTGCATATAGTTCCTTTGTAAATCAAAATTTATAATGATTTACTATATATGAATTAATTTGAAAAAGTATTTGTACAACAATTAAATCAATTGATAAGAATTTTGAAAGTATTATATTAGTATCTTATGCTTGTGTAAGTTGTTGTTCAATGAAATGTAGGACAACATGTGTATTAATTATATATCTAAGTTGATTCCCACACTTTTTTGAAATGGTATTATTCCAATTCTTTCCATAGGCAAGTAAGAGTCAGTATGATTATCAACTGCCATGATTTTCAAATAATTACAATCAAAGGTGTAAGTATTAATTGGAAACGACCCCAGGCTTAATTCACCACAGTTAATATCTCATGACCTGTTACATAATTAAATAGACACAATTTATTACACACCTAACTGAATACACAAATTCTTGACCTCAATAGTAATCCTACAAATGTGTTATTTATTTTAATCTACACTACACTAAAATATTCTGTTAATTTTGCTAGCTAGCTGAATGATTAATCAGATGTGGTTTTTTTTTCAAAGAAAAGACTTAAAATTAAAAAAATATGTATAAAAAATGCAAGCAAATTTTATTTCACTTGTAAAATCAGTGTCATTATCATCTGACATAAGTCAATAATCAAGTTCTAATTAATTAATTAGTTACAATTATCAGAAATTTGATTGAAATAATATACAAAATTGCATAACTCTTACCTGAGTATTTTCTGTTATAAAATTTATTTGTTTGTTCTACATTTATATCCCATTATATTGCTATTTAACAGTAATTGGAAATATATTAGTAGATATTTTGATCTGCAATTTGTTTTTAATGTACCAGTGTAGAAATGAATTTCATAGAAAAATTTTAATAATTGTCAGATATCAAATTTTAAATAGTAAGAAAATAGCAGGAAAATAATGAAAAACACGTTTGAAGGAAGAACAGACTACACCATTACCAATTAAATAGTTGGAAGGAAATAACAGAAAAAAAAACCCAACACAGCAAAATACTCTCAAATTGATTTCATTAGCTTCAAGCAGTCCATAATACGATATTATCTATTTATGACACATTGTTTTTTGTGATCTTTAATATCGATGTTCATTAGTTTTGCTTTATCTTGATTAATGTTCATTTTGTGATTCATGTTTTTTGACTGATAGATATATAAGAGGGCGGTTAAGTTTCCAAAAAAAAAAAACAAGCTTAATTTAATATTTGAATTTAATTAGTAGTTTTGTGTGTTTTCTAGGTTTAATTGATTTAGAACATTTGTTGTTGAGAAGTTCAGCTTTTAGTTCATATAGACTGAAGTTCCATGTAAGCTTTTACCAACGCTTGGAGTTGTTGACATCAAAATGGAATCATAAATGACTTTTGTGACCAAAATCGTCCAACGACAACTATAGAAGTTAAAGTTCTTATTGTCTTTCAGAAAGAGGCAAAAGTAGTAAATCGCCTAAAAACCTGTAAATCTTTTTTCAATATACAAATCAGGATAAAAAAATCTAAGCAATCGTATGAACTCAAACCGTGACGAGACCGGGTGCGTCGGTAAGCGTAACATGCTATGCATGCATGCATCACTTCGCCATGAGAATTCACTCAGTTAAATATCATAATAGGGGATAAAACACAATCGGTAAAATTACAGATTAGAGATCTGAGACCGCGAAAGTATGTCGCTAGTGAGGTGAGACACCAACACATCGTATCGGTCAACCAATTCGTGATGGTATACGTTAGCTTTAAGCAGTGTCGATTAAAGTCGTTTTCCTAATAAACCTGTTGGTGCAGTGTTTGCTTAAGAAGCACAACCCTGTTAATAAAGTCGTATAGTGTGAACATACATGAGCTTAACGTATAAACTGAAACATGTAAATGTCATACGAAGGAGTAGAGGCTATGTTACTGCCGAGAAAGGGGTAGTTGACAATTAGAAAGTTTAAATCATCATTTATTCTGGTTAGAAATCGTCCATCTGTGTCAATATCGAGGACCTGATCAAGATAAGTTACATATCTTCTACTTTCGGAAGTATCATTAATCTTAAGCGCATTAGGATACATGAGATGTAAGCATTACAATCTGGATTATTAGTGACAGAACGTCATCAATATATCTGAAAAGAAATTTAAAACTTTGCTAGGCGTTTTTTCTTTTTGTCTTAACGAATGTTCTGTAAAAATTATACTTCATGTTAGTACAAAAACAAGGCTACTAGCAGTGGTGCACAGTTTGTATCCATTGCAATATCACTCCACCAATCTCAAGAAATATGTTGTCAATCCAAAAATGCATCATTTTGATGATATTATCTTCGGTGTATTTGT